AGTCCATAACAAAAGTGGAAAAAAAAAAAACCCTACAATTCTTGTGGTAAGTTGAGCACATGATTTTTTGTGGAATCAGGGTCAAACCCCATGCGTGTCCGACACTTGGCTGGTGTCGGGCACAAATGACTAAAATACCCTTCTTGCCCTAATCCAAAAATTGCTTTAGGGTTTGATTTCTACCAGAAAACCTGCAGAGTTTCCCCTGGAGAAGGCTCAAAACCCAGAAATTTACCTACACAGCAAACTCAAATAATTTCCTAAGCGTTTAGCAAATTCAACTTTACAAAACTGATCATAAAAAATAAGTCATAAACTTGCGGCTTCACCTAGGTTAGCCTAGGTTGCCTATATACCCTTATTGAGGGATCAACCGCACGTAATTCTTTTTACAAGAAAACAAAGTTCAACCCATATGTAAGCACATGAATTAAATATTCCTTCACACTTTCCTAAAACCAAAATTTTCAAACTTTAATCAATCCGCTGAAACTTAAACAAAAGATATTGATTTCAAAACAATCTTCCACCCATCACATATGTGCATACAGTGGGGGATCCAGAAATTTTTCAAGAGAGGGGCAATAATGATTTTGGTACTGCCCAAGGACTGAATAAAAAACATATTTTAAAATGAACTAGACCCTCAAATAATTTTAGAGTTAATTAGCACGGTAATCCAGAAATAATAATAAAAACATATTACCACAGAAAAAGATTAGATCAACAAACAAGTTGTGTCAATCAAGTCATTATTAAACAAAAACCCTAATATTCAAATTGTGATGTGAGAGCATCGTCCAAGGATTCTTCTTTGTTTTATTTTTTTTGGACAGATGAGCTTTTTCAAATTGGAAGCGTGAGATTATAATAAAATGTTTATTATAATAACCAAGTAATTGAAGCAAAATAATGAATTTTGAAACAGCTGTTATCTAGGTTGCACCAAAACTGAAGAGTTTGATTTTTAAACAACTTCATTGAAACACGCGTTTCATTGAACCTAAATCCTAAGTACGACGTCGTTTGTGAAACTTGAATAAAGGGTTGTCTTCTTCGATCGTGAACCAGAGCCTCCCTAAGCAACACGCCTCTACAACTCCTTCTGCATCACTGTGCGTGCCTCAATCGTGTTGCTTGCCAAACTAATGGAGCCTTGATACGATTTCAAGAGGCCTCAGATCGATGCACTCCATGAGGTGCGCCTTGGTAGCACCTTTTAAAACGCCAAAGAACAAAGGGGCAAATCCAGTACCTCCATAGTTTTTTTGGCGACGGGAGGTGCATCTGCACCTCCTTGCACCTCTGTAGGTCCGCCTCTATGTGCATATACAAATACATATACATAATAGCTCATTACAGATAAATAGGAAAACGAGAAAATTATTAAAATAACATTGGTCACGTGAAACCTTAATATAAATATCAACAGTTTGAATACAACATGCTTCAATCTTTCACATGTAAAAATAAACTCATCTCTTAAGAGAATAGTTGTGAATTGTATAAAATCCTTAAAACTTAGAAAACTCTCAATCATTGTCTCATAAATATGAAAACATGTATTAAAACTTTCACCAATAAGTACCAAGATTAAATCATCAATTTTAGTTTAAAACATCTCAAAACTCAAATACTCTCCACCTAGATGTACCCCAAATCATAATCCGTCAATTCCAATAATTTCGTCAATTTCAAGTACCATATATGTTACATCATTGCAGAACTCGGGGGATACATGGTCAGCCCGAGAACACGTATCCTCGTAGAACTCAGGGGACATATAGTTAGCCTAAGGAAACATATCATCGCAGAACTCGAGGGACACGTAGTCAACTCGAGAATGCATATCCTTGTAGAATCGGGTGATTAGCCCGAAACGCATATCCATCAATTCCTCTTGCAAGACTCAGGAAGATATAATCAGCTTGAGAACACAAATCCTCGCACCACACGATTTAGGTGTCCTCAAGACTCGTGGGGCATTGTCATAAATGACTAGACTATTACGAAGGCAACTGGGGGAGGAGGGGTTACTCCTGTGGTGGGTTTGAAAACCATTTTCCGAAACTTATCATAAAATTCCTTTTTTTCCACAAATCCACTTTCACAAATCCATTTTTCAAATCCTTTCTCAACTTTCCAAAAATCAGTTCTTAAATAGATAACCAAAAATCCCTTTTTAAAACAAGATCAATCCCAACATTCCTTAACTTGAATTTGACCATGCATAATGTTTCAAAACTGTTCTCAAACCACATTCAAATATGTACAACATACTATTCAAAAAACTAGTATTCATAATTCATTGATTTCAAGTCACCGATCATATATTTAAATATAGACATATAATTAGGCATTTAATTAATTCCTTAGTCATGCCAAAACCCGGTTATCTAAGTCATTCCCAACTCCGCACAATTAAACATAATATAACATGCTTGGAAAGTACAAGCGATTGCATAATAATTCATAAACATTTAATAAAACCTCATAGCATAATACCATTTTAAAACAAACCTCCAATTACAATTACAACTATTAAATGGCCTCAACCGAGCCGACATAGCCCACTCTGTAAGTCAACTGGGCTCGTAGGGCCCACATTTTTGCTGTGACACATGCAATTCCAAGATGATTGAAACATTGGTATAATAATAAAATGGAGCATACAACCAAGTAGGCTCTCTAAACTGGATCCAAAGCCTTTGCATTTAGAGTTAATGCATTTACCTGCATTTCGCTAAATCCAGAGCGTTCTAATAATCTAACCCCTTAGAACATGACACATCATCAAGTTTTTTTTTCTTCTTCTCTAAACAAACGTTAAGTTTAGAGTGTGTTTTTTTTTTCTTTTTCTGTTCTTCTTCCGTATAATCTTCTTTTCTCTAGGGTTCAATGAAAAATTGCCCACGGTTTAACGAATATTCAAATCCAAATGAAATGGAAAAACTCCAAAATTCTTGAATAGGTAATTAAGACAGATCCATTGCAATCTGATCATGAAGGGAAGGAAAATTACTTTCTCGATGATCAAAAGAAAAAAGATTATGAAGAGAAGGAAAATTACTTTCTCGATCAAAAGAAAAAAGATTATGAAGGGAAGGAGATGACGACAAAAAAGCCCTCTTGTGAAGCCAGAAAATGCATGAAATACTGAAGAAAAGCAAAAAACTATTTTAACTTGGTTGGGTTTGAAGATTAATACAACCATGAATGGTTTTCCATTGAATCCCAAAAGGGCATTAGTCAAGCAGGGAGAAAGAAGAAGATGACCAAAACGCAAAAAAGAAAAAGAAACTTGTTGTAACATGAACGTGAAGAAACAAAAAAAAAACTACAACTTAACAACAATAGTTAACATCAGTTATGTTTGGTTATATTATTATAACACTCTAAATTTAGCGAAAAGGGGGTAAATGCACCGGTTTCAAATGCAGAGGCTCGAGATCCCTCTAAACTATAGAAGCAAACGTTTCTTCTAGCTACAACGACGCTAGTAGGGTTTAATGAAACTATATCAAACTATATATTGCTTTTAGGAGAAAGGTTTATAATCATGTATGCTTTAATAGGAAGCCCAATTCAAAGCATTAGTTGAAAGAAATTTAAGGAAAAAAAAATTGAGTTGCAAACAGAAAATGAAGGATTGGCCATCTGAGTTAGGGGAAAAGCTAATGTAAGTGAATAAAACAAATGGGAACAACCACACATATATTTCCAATAGTTAATGCATCATGTAAACATGCATATATAAAACTTGCCAACAGTGGCTTGCGCCTGCACCTCCGGTCGCCGGAAATAGCCATTACAGACGCTGGAGTTGCACCTCTGCTTCAGACCAGCGATGCACACAATATGCCCGATGAAATGCGCAAACCACTGGGCT